TGTTAGTGCGTCATATGCTTCGTTGACCTGATTGGTTTATTTGGCCCGTCTATCACCAACATAGGCCAATCAGCTAACCAGTATTTTCGCCCCTTCTCAAAATTACTTCAACGGAAGGTTTCCAGATGGATATGCAGAGCAAATCCATCTGGCGGAGTCAGGTTAAGGGTTTGCATTTAGTCCTCCTACATCAATGCTTGTAGAAGTTATTTATTTTAGATCTGCATGTTTTTGTCCAGTATAGCCCCAGAGTTGACTTCAGTTTCCCCATTTCTTTAGAAGAAAAGTAACCCCATAGCACTTAAATGAATTTTGTTTGTAAAAAAATTATTTTGAAAATTTTTCTTGTACAATAATGATCAATTTTGGTTTGATGTGTCACATAAAATCCAAAAGGCTGAATGTCTTGGCCGCCACATGAAAAAGTGATAAGGTCTAAAGGGGCATAATTATGTTTGCAAAGGCACTGTATTCATGCAGCTGAGTGGTTATGATTACAGGTTTCACATTCACATGTTTTTGTGTCTCTTTATATCTATGTCTCCATCCTTTTTTAGCGTATTGTGACTTAAAGCTTGGTTCAGAAGTCCCAAATACAAATTACACTCAAGCTGTCGTTTAAAGTTTATCCTGCAGAAGAACATGTAAACTCAACAGGGGTGGTTTTATTTTTTCATTTTTTTTATTTAGATTTTAAATAAAAATTAACTTGTTTGGACATTCTAATAGAAACATGACTGCTTGGTTGTTTTTTGCTTATCCTATGTATGCTATAAAACCTTTCCTGGTTTCCATATTCATTACCAAAACAACCAATAAGAGAATGGGAAAGACATGAGATGAATTCATTTCTTTTGTGTTATTTTGAAATATAGTTTTCATTTTATATATATATATATATTTTTGAACTGGAAGTAGTGCTTTGATGAGGTCTCTTCACAGAAGACTAGAAGAATAAATATATGATTGCAAATTAGTTTAATCAAGCCTTAAATGGGCCTTTTATGCCAAACTTCACTTTTTAAAAATATTTTTATACTCACATTTGGGTCTTCACTGCTTCTAGAAACAATTCAAGCAAAAACAAAAAAGGTCTAATAGAGAAACAGGACTAAACACTGAAAAGCAGGCTCGGCTCTATTAGTTATAATCAGAGGAGTTGATGTCCGCAGCCCAGGTGATTTCTATCTCCAGGACGGAGTCACAGCCAAACAAATGAAGATATCTTAAGCCTTACTTCTTCTAAAATGTCACTTTTATACAAACTCCTCATTCAATGTATGCAAAATATAGAAAACCTACTGAAAAACCCTTAAGAGTTTACATGTTCTGCTGCTTTCTTGTGTTTACTTTGTTCAAAATGGCTTTTGAACAGAAAGCTTCTAAATGTTACATAAGTAAATGTTTTTCATTTATCACCTCCACAACTTCACCTCTCCCTTCCACTTCCTCTCCCTCTGTTTCCTCTCTCCCTCCTTCATCCATCCTCTAATCCTTTACTCCTGCCATCCATCCAGGCGACCACATTATAGATCTGGAACTGAAAACCCCAACAGAACTCAACTACGTCCCCTGTACCCCCCTACGCTCCGATGAGTTCTTTAGTGAGGGTGAAGCTAGCATAGCGTCCCCTAGTAGGACCACGCTCACCAGACCTAGTGACCTCTCGCTTGCTCAGACTACAAGCACCTCCAGCAGCGAACCCCCCACGGTGGTCCCAGCCCATGGCTCAGAACCTCCTATTGCGGGGCCGGAAGATACACTTCTGACTGCGGGAGACAGAGGGATCTCTGTAGAGATGCCAGATAATGACCGAAGGGCAGGGAACCAACAAAACGGAAGAGAGGAAGAAGAGGAAATGACCCAGGAGCGACTGCGGAGTCTGCTGGAAGATATACAGCTGGAGGGAGGCGTGGAGGAAGAGGAGATGACCGAGGAGAGAGTGAATGCGATCCTAGAGCAAGTACGGCAAGCAGAACAAAACATTTCTTCGGTTCCAGGCTGGAGTGCCGAGACGTCTGGAGCCACAGCTGGACACATCAGCAAAGACACAGAGAGCAGGTAGGCTTCATCTGCTAAACTATGCAATAAGTGCACTTAGAAATCAACTTAGATCTGAAACCTTTTACCTAATTCAGTCCCGACAGTCCGGCTGATTCCCTGGAGCAGCCGCCGGCTCAGAACGGAGGCCACACAGACAGGGAAACAAAAGAAAAAGGAGCCAAGGGGAACGGAGCAGATGAGGATAGCAGGACAGCGGGACCTGGCAGAGGACGAGAGGATGGGGGTGAAAAATCCCAGCACAAAGTCCAGGTGAGAGTCTTCCACCAAGGGAAATTTACTTTATCCGATGTCTGAGCTGCAGATTTTAACTGTGCCTCAAACAAATTGTTTGTCTAAAGACCATAATATATAAAATAGAAGAAATGTGCCTCTGGTTTTTGTTAAGAGGTAGTTCATCTTAATTCAATGAAGGAAAGAGATAAAAAAAAAAAAAAACACTCTCATTTAAAGTTTGAAATCAAGGCTACAATCTCTATTTGGAGCATTTCTACCCTGCATTTAAAATGATTCATAGAAAATAAATGTGGCATACTTTAAATGTGTGCATACCAGGTTCTGCAACAGCTTCTTCCCCACTGCCCTCAGACTGTTGAACCTTTGATCCACCAACCGAACTCTGCACCTATTGCACATTATCGGGCATCAAATGCTGCTGAACATTTAACTTTTAGCTTTCTCAGTTCATCTCATTTCTATTCTCATATAACGCATTTTTTGCACAAATGCCTATTTGCACTGAACCATTGCAATTTGCACACTGTTTTTATCCACTGCACTGTTTACACTTTGACCACTGCTGCACTTTTTGTATAACTCGTGTGTAACAATCCGGAAAGGTATTCCATCTCATTTGAAATATCAATGCAATGTTCATAAGCTGTATGCAACGCAATTTCGTTCTGTATGCACTCTGTGCATACAAAATGACAAATAAAGAAGTCTAAGTCTAAGTCTAGACACATATGGGGTTAATAACAATGCCTTGCTGCTGGGTTGCCTTCACCAGGAAACCATCAGAGCTGGTGAGTCCAGCTCTGATGACGAGACCACAGTCACTACCAGGGTGTACCGCAGACGGGTCATTCTCAAGGTGTGTGAGGCTTGCTGTGTGTGAAGCTCGGTGTGTGTAAGTGCTGAGCTCAGTCAGCAACAAAAAGTGTTAAAACTCAAAGCAAGTGCGACTACCGTCTGTTGCTGTGTTTTTCTCAGCATGAAAAATAAAGTGATGTAATGTCAGCGTTTGTTTGCTCCTGTATTGCAGACACATGCAATGATGTTGATTGGTTTTCATTGAGACTTTGCTGGAAATACAGAACCGGGTGGAATTGTGTAATAGAAGAAATGTCACCGTATTCTTTCATTTAAAGCTGAGTTTTATATCCGGATTTGATATATTTGCAAAGCTTTTTGGTGTGAGCCACTACTCCTGCAGCATGATGTTTGGTTTGGCTTTCATTAGCTCTTTGGTTATGCAGAGCCAATCAGTTCATTTAGTTGCATTATTAGGTCTTATTTCCACTAGAGAAATAATCCCATTTTGGTAGGCATAAAATGCTGTCATTTCCAGCATGACATTCTACATGGGCTTTCGCAATCTGTACTTGTTATTAATTTTCTATAATCTTATGGAAGTTTTCTTAAGGGAAATGTGGATAAATAACTTGTGCCAGCAGGAAATCCCTAATAGGAAGTTTGTTTTGATTATGCGTCTAACTACAGGCTCAGTGTGAGCGGCCATCTGCTGAGGCCGACTGGGTTTTTTCTTTAGGTTAATAGACTATATTAATTAGAGGGGGAAAAAATCCACCATCCCCCTTCTTCTTTTACAACTAGACTACCTATTATCCCACTTATTTAAAACAGCATATATTTCTCAACACTTCATACCAGTCAATAAAACCAAAGAAGTTAGGATTTTTCATTCTCAGAACATCTATAGGAAAATATCCAGTCTAGTCTTGTTCTAATGAAGCCAATATCGTTCCATTCCTGAGCAAAGTTTATGGGTTTTGGGGATTATTAACATGGTCTAAGAAGTTAATCAACTTTTATGTTTTAAAAGTTGAATTTGTGTTGACTGTGATGCTCGTTATATTAAAGCATTCCGGTTTGTTGCGGTTTTACTGTTTTATTTGCTTGACTGCAGATTTGAATGAATGCGACTTTTTGAAGTTTTGTTGATTTTGTTGTTTTTTTTTGTTCCTTTCTGATCCAAACTTCTTTGAAGCTGTTTGACCTTCTAATAAGATAAGCTTGATGTGCTCATAACTGTCGAAGAGTCGATTTGTTTCTTTGGTTCCTAATTTTTCCCAGTTCCTTTTTGCCCTCCCTCTCCTTCCCAGCCATCCACCTTTTGTTTTCCCTCTCATCCTTTCTTTCAACTTTTACCACAGGGAGAGGAGGCCAGAAACATCCCAGGACAAACTGTTACTGAGGAGCAATTCATAGACGAAGATGGGAATCTGGTGACAAGAAAAGTAACTGTCCTCCTCCTCCTGCTGCTTCACTACAGCCTACCCAGAAAAATCTCATTTCTCATTCCGTCATATTTTCCTCCTTTAAAAAAAAACCTCTATCCTCCTCTTCCTGACATGCTTCTGCCCCCTACAGGTTATCAGGAAGGTGGTGCGTCGGGGTTTCAACTCCGAGGAAAGAAGGGAATGTGAACAGCCTAATATGGCAGGGGAAGGAGCTTTGACTGTTGATGTAGGTGAAGCAGATGCTGCTGCATCAGCAGAAAATGTAGCAGCAGCAGGAAATAAGGGCGGTAAGGGCAAGAAAAGAGGGAAACGCTCCCGACACGGACACAAGGAGGAAGCCCAGAGAGAGAAAACCCAGGTTGGCGTTAAAACCAACCTCCTCACATTGACTGACTTACAGCACCCACTTTGCCTTTGACTTTAGTAAAAAATAAACACATAACATTAGCAACACTCTGACATGTCCTAATCTGGTTTCAGCATGTTTGTTCTTTGCTGGGTGTGACTCTCTACTAACTAAATCCAACTGTCTAAACATAAAGGAAGGTATAATATCCAAAAACTGTACTGAAGTAAGAGCAGCTTTACTTCATCAGATTTTTACTCAACAAAAAGTCAAAAGTAGCCTTCTAATAAATTACTCAAGTAAAAGTGAAAAAGTAATTGGGAAAAGTAGCTCATTATAACATCTGATTTAATGTTTTAAAAAAATGTATAAATTTGCAAACTATAAAGTTATCTAAAAATTTTGAAAATGAGATAAAAAGCTAAATATAAAATATTCAGTAAATAAACAGTAATTTCATTCACAGTATATTAGAGTTGGTGAGAATATAATATTTACTTCCTGTAACATGATGCATTAAACTTTCTGCAGCGTTTCCACTGGACCTCCAAACGACCAGCAGATGGAACATAACATTAAAGGAATAGTACACCCAAAACATGATTAGCCTTCATTTTCTACTCACCCCCATGCTGAACAACACTCTGGAGTACTTTTTTGATATCTCAAATGCATCTGGAGATCTGGGAGGCTTCTTGCTGTCTGCTGACATTCAAATAATGGAGGTCCATGGCGCCCGAGGCAGAAAGGTCCATAAAAGTCCACAAAAAACGTTTCAATATTCCTCCATACTGCTCGTCCAATGTATTCCAAGTGTCCTGAGTGGGTAGCATCCAGAATTTACTCGAAACGAAGTCATTTAGAATGTTTTTAGAGCATAAACAGTAGTGTATAGGATTTCCTGAAAGCGCGTTCACGGCGCTACGGAAACCGCGGCAGACCAACCCAGACGAAAGTGCGCATTCAGCTCAGCAAAGAACTCATGCTCTTCCTTAACACTGAAGTCCTCAGACATTTTTCTTTCGTTGTTTCTTTCTTTGCACAGGTAAACAGCACATTTCTTCTTCTACGCTTGCATTATTGGCAGAGCAGACACTGAATGCGCACTTTCATCTGGTTTGGTCTGCCGGCTTCCGTAGCGTCATGAACGCGCAGGTGCGCGCTTTCAGGAAATCCTATACACTACTGTTTATGCTCTAAAAACATTCTAAATGACTTCGTTTCGAGTAAATTCTGGATGCTACCCACTTAGGACACTTGGAATACATTGGACGAGCAGTATGGAGGAATATTGACACGTTTTTTGTGGACTTTTATGGACCTTTCTGTCTCGGGCACCATAGACCTCCATTATTTGAATGCCAGCAGACAGCAAGAAGCCTCCCAGATCTCCAGATGCATTTGAGATATCAAAAAAGTACTCCAGAGTGTTGTTCAGCATGGGGGTGAGTAGAAAATGAAGGCTAATCATGTTTTGGGTGTACTATTCCTTTAAACAAAGAGGCTCGAGTAGAAAACAGAAATCTCACTTAGACATTAACTGTATATGTTTGTCTCTTTGGGACATTTTTATTTTAAAAAAGTATAGTAATGATACCTCATCATATTTTTACTTATGTAAAAGTACAAATATGATACAGAAAAACTACCTTAAAGTACATTTTTCTCAAAAGGCCACTCAGGTAAATGTAACTGAGTATCTGTAACTAGTATAGTAGTAATTACCGTAATTACCGTCTAAATATCTTATTATCTTGAAAAGTAAATTAACTTAAAGGTAAGTAGTGAAATAATACATTTAAACAAACTGTCAGTCTAGTAAGAGGAATTAATCATATTGCAGTATATTGTTAAAAACTCCTTATTATTTTTACACATTTTCACACACAATTAAGATGCCATAAAGAGAAACAAGAGTAGTTACCTGCAAAATTGAAGCCAAAATAAAAGCATCACATTTGGTCATAATGTGGACTTCTCACTTTAATGATGCAGTAAACTTTCTGCTGCATTTCCACTGTACCTCCAAAAGACACGGCAGGATCAGCAGATTAACTGTATATGTTTGTCTCTTTGGGACATTTTTATTTAAAAAAGTAAAGTAATGATACCTCATCATATTTTTACTTATGTAAAAGTACAAATATGATACAGAAAAACTACCTTAAAGTAGAATTTTCTCAAAAGACAACTTAAGTAAATGTAACTGAGTATCTGTAAGTAGTTACTGCTCACTTTTGTCTAAACAAGAGTAGTTACCTGCAAAATCGAAGCCAAAATAAAAGCATCACATTTGGTCTTAATGTGGACTTCTCACTTTAAGGATGCAGAACTGAGGTTTTTTTCCTGAATCATCAGGATTCAGCCAAGTGAGCTAAAATCTTGAAGGGCAAATATGCCCTGGGGGAAGGGGGGTGCTAAGGGGTCTCTAAACACTGTTATTTCTTTTATGCATCTTTCATGCTGTTTATTGGAAGAAACTCCAACATTTGCAGCACAAATATTGAAATCTATCATTTAAAACCACTAGTTTAATTAAGATTATATACACTTTATTATATCATTGAGATTTATTTTTGATTGGCTTAAGCAATCAAAAACAACAATATTCCAGATTAATTGCATGTCTGATATTTTTTGAATAAGCCACTACTGCAGCGTGCTAAATTCAAGTCATTTCAATGCAGTATTTTCCTCTGATTTAGTGGCCATGTTTGATATTTTTTAAATAGATAGAAAACTGATTTTAAACATTATGATGACGTGTCAGCATTGATGCCTACGTGGAAGAAAGAGTTGTTTTGCAACAAAAGCATTGTGCATTGCTTTGCTGTGTTTTCAGGTTTGAAATAACAAATATGGGTGTTTATTGAATCTAGAAAAAATGTTTTATTTATTTTCGTATGCTTTTGTTTAATGTGTTTAAATTCTTTGTACATCAGTAGAAACCTTACTCTCTCACCCTAAACAATTTTTTTTCCAGCATGCTCCCTGCTGTGGTGATCAACCGATATATGTTTAAATAATACTTTGAGATCAGTTTTATCTTGAACAAATGAATAATTTATTATTCATTCTGTTTTTTTTTCGGTCTCCATGACGAACCTTTTGCTTCCGTCATCATTTCACCCCTAAGCCTGGAGACGGTTCCAACAAGAAGCACGGGAAAAAGAGTCAGTCATAACAACAAAGCTCTAACATAAACATGGTAAGAGAAACATTTAGACTTTTAGTCTAAAAGAGTTGTCACTTTAACCAAAACGCCCAAACTGTCAGATTTGTAGGGATATTGTAGCTGAAAGGAATCTGCAGTAGCTTCTCTTAATTAAAGCAAAGCTTAAATGAGAGAATCAAAATAGAGGTTTCAATTTTATTTTTCTAATTGCTTGAAAATGTTTATTTTTCCTCTTTTTCTTCCAGGTTTTATAGTCGTTCACAGCAGCTACACACTCGAAGAACAAAAAAAAACACCAGAACTGGAGTCCATGAGGAACAAGAAAGGCGTGGAGGCGTTTCAAGGCAGCCGACTCGTGTTAGAAGTATTTTCCTACACCGCATGGTTAACAGCAAGATGATGTTACTTTTCCTTGATTTCGCATGAGCATGTCACTGAACTCACTCGCTGTCAGAAGGACAGAAGAAAACACACACAGGGGCCACTCACGGCTGTGAACGGGAACTTTCTCTCATCGACGGCGAACGAACTGCATCCGCAGCCAAAGAAAAGACCTGCTGACAGAACAGACTCCACTATCTCAGACTCTCTACCCTACCGTGATTTTTGTTTGTTTTCCTCCTGGATCTGAAGCAGCTGCACCGGAGTGCACCATGTGCTTCTTTTATAAAAATAAAATCTAATAATAAATGGGTGATTTTCTTGTATATAAATGACACTGTATAAAAACAAAACAAAAAAAAACGAGTAGCTTCACAGATTGTTTATGCACTGATTTGAGCTGGTAAGGCTTTGCAGAGTCTGTGCACTTAGCTGTGTGACCTGATTTGCTCTTCCCTAAATTATGAAAAAAAAAGGAGCAAAACAGCTCTGTGAGCGAGGAACGAATGCAAGAAAACGAAGAGTGATTTTCCATGTCGGATGTCTGTAATGAACAGCTCCTCTGCTGTGGAATGTTCTTCAGAGAAATTATATTTTGCTGCATGTTATGGCACTGTATTTTTAATGTTTGCTTTTTTTTTCTTCTAATTTTAAAGCACTGTAATACAATTAGAGAGGGTTTGACAGAACTTTTTTCTGTTCAGACTCATTATAACACAAGTGTCTATCATCTGTGGCTCTCTTTGATTTAATAAACACACTCCACATTCAAGTTGTGGGACAATAAAGTTTCCCTTTGGATCCAGTGAAGGACAGACGGTTTTGTCTGATTTAACCTACAGACTGGAGTATTAGCGCTTAACTGCTAGCAGCCCTGAGTATGGAGGTGTGTGTGTGTGTGTGTGTGTGAGGACGTGTGTGTGTAACACCATAAACTTTATTCCCATCATGCAAACTATAGCTTCTATGTCTACTGGTGTTTTTAACAAAGGGGACTGTTTTTATGTTGGATTTTTACAACTTTCATCTTGTTAATCTGTTATTTACATGATTAGATTTTTATTCTCAATCACCAAACTGTAACTGTATCAACAGCTGGAATCACACAAATCACACTACTTATTTGCTTTTATTGTAAATCTACTTCTGTGTTTGTTTTTCTTCTTTTCTTTTGTTGTTTTTTTTTTTTTTTCTCGCCATACACATCTCTACCCGATGCATTCACTGATATTAAATCTGGTACCAACATGTATAACAAACCAACATAGCCAACCCTGGATGATTCAAAATTATTTAAACAAAAAAAAAAATAAATTGTGTTTTAACCAAATGACTGTGGGCCGTTGTTGTTTTTCTGTGTGGAAGATCACCTATGAAAGGTATGAATCAAGTTGCATCATAAATGATGGGTAGAATGATGTCACGACCTGGTTGAATGCAAAGATTTGTTTGTTGGTGTTTTCAGTAAACAGGCTGTCTACGATTATTACAACAAGCCAAGGATGGGGAACCCTCCTGTTCAGACGGGACATTGTTTGTTCAGATAAACAATAAATTCCTGAGAGAAATTGAAGATAATGTCTGACAATAATGTCATTTGAGGACTTAGAAGAGGTGTACTGCTGTTTGGAATATGCAGACATTGGGTGTATCATGGAATTGGGAAAACAGCAGCTGTACATTGTGAGGCTGTCCACCGTGTGAGGGGATCTGCAGAGCTATAAACAAGTCGATTATGAATCACATATTAAGACTTAAACATCATTTCAATGGGACTCTTTTTTGTAAACTTTATTCTTGATTTATTTTTTGATCATGCAGAACACCTAGGTGACATCTGGGACATCCCAGAATGCAAAAATCAGTCCTGGTATTTTTATGAAAAGGTTTGACAGAGGGGGCTGCACAGTGGCCTTGCAGCAGGAAGGTTCTGGGTTTGATTCCCAGCCCGGGTCTTTCTGCATAGAGTTTGCATGTTCTAACATGACTGTTAGGTTAATTGACTTCTCTAAATTCTCCTTAGGTGTTAATGTGTGTGTGATAGGTTGTTTGTCTGGTTTGTCCCTGTGTTGCCCTGTGACATATATCTATATCTATATATAAATAAATCTATATATAGATATATCTATATATAAATATATCTATATACAGATATAGATATTGATATCTGTATATAGATATCTATATGTAGATATACATATATATATATATATATATATATATATTTATATATTTATCTCCACTGACACAGTAAGAAAAAGAAATGTAACAAATTTTCTGTGATGAGGACTTTTTTAAAGAATAGTTTTAAAAAATTATTTGTATTATTTAAGAAACAGTCCTTATTTAACTTTTATACTGAAGTACAATGTAGAACCTGCACTTTTACTTTTTTACTTATTTAAACGGAACCAGTCTGTACTTTAACTATTACAAAAATACCTGTGCATTTACTTAAGTAAAGAGGTATTTGTTTAAAGGTTTTACTGAAAAATATCTTTAAAATAACCATTTTATTTAATCCTTTATGACTAAAACACCATTTGTTGAGCAGACTGACACCTTCTGCTTGATGGTTAATTTTTAAAGATTATTTTTTTAAAATTTTTCTTTGAATTGCTGAAAATTATTATTATTATTTCCAAAGCGTTTAAATATTTGATTGAAGTTAATATTTTGAAGTAATATAAACCAATCTTAAATTGGAATTTTAACACAAGTGAATAAGTAACAAGGACTCTTTTTTTTTTTTTCTATAGAAATAGCAGCTTTTGGTTGTTTTTACCATTATTCCTCCAGCAGGGGGACACCTAGTGACACTTCAGGATTAAACATAAGCACCATAATGAAACAAAAAGCTCAGGAACACTAACAGCTTAAATGCAACAGAATAAGACAACAAGAGACAGTTTGAAGCAAATTTAATGACGAGTGTTTATCTCTTTATAGTCAATTTATAGTCAAATAAAAAGAAAACAAATACAGCTAAATAATAACCATCCAAAGTTTCAAAAACTCTCAGAAAATCACAAAAGGTTAAGTTAATGAAAAAAGGAACAAGTGGTTGAAGAACGATAATCAAAGAAAGCAACAATGGCAATTTCTGCTCTGTAATTTTGTAGAATTGTTTTCTCATTAAGCCAGATAGTTCTAAACATGTTTCTGTGTTAAATAATGAGTGAAATAATCAGTCAAAACTAGGGATTCTAGGGCTAATTGGAGTTAAACAGGCTAAATTCATATGCACACTATACTTGTTGGGATTTAAATGTTTTGTAGTTGTAAAAATAATGTTAGAGTTCCCCAATTTTCTGTTTTTGACAAATCTGTGTAGGTTTTATTCCATGAAACTCAAATAAAATGTGCTTAGGTATGTTTCATGCAAACATGTAGGAGTCAAGCTTTTATTTTGTTAAGGTAAAATAAACTTACATTGCAGTTTTGTCTAAGTGCAGCTAAATTCATGTTTACCTAAAATCCCTTTAAAAACCTACAAATTTTTTTTTTTGTAAAACTGCACATTTAAGGTCCAAAATTGTGTCACAAGTCGTTTGACACAAAAGCTTGTCTCAATACGAAGTTCACAAACAAAAATATTGAATTTTCAGCTTGCACCACATCCTGCATGTGTGCAAACCAGCTGTCAGACAGAAGCATGACGTGTGGATCTGTTTCATCACTGCAAGTCGGGCTGAGGGCCATGCCTCTGTCGGTGAGCCATCGATCAATTCTCTCCCTCAATGGTTTCTGTCTTCAGACATTAAAGGTGCTCACTGAGTTTTGAAGTGCTTCTGTTTCTATTATCATAACCATTCTGTTTTACTTTGTTAAAACTATGATTTCTCACACTTTATCCAGGACTGGCTCACAGGTTAGCGGTTTTTTCAGAGAGTCACAGACTTCCCTTTTCCCAGACCTAATCAGTGGCGACGGATCATATCTATGTACAGACTTGCCCTTATTTGAAAAGGTAAATATACACCCTGTATGTGAAAACAACAATAGTCCCACCTTTTGTGACTGTTTTCTAATTTCTTATGAATTTTTTTTGTTTATCATCCAGTTTTTTTTCTTTTTCAAACTCTCTATTGTTAATAATTTTGATATTGTTGCAAAGATTTTACACGATAAACTCCTTTCTTTAACTTCTTGAGTGTGGCAGTAGAATGTAAAATTTATGTTTATCTTTTTTTTTTTTTTTTTTTTTTTTTTTTTTTTTTTTTTTTGCTTGTTTTTCAAATTAAGTAGCCCATCAGGACCATTTAAGGGACCTTTGCAAACTATACTGAATACTTATTTTTGTTTATCATCAGCAATATATAAATGTAAAATATCAAAGGAATTTTTGGATGGAAACTGAGTATTATTCACACTAAAAAACAGAAATATATTTGGAAATCATTTAAGAGGAAATTCAAATGTTCTTATAAAGTCATAAAATAAGTGCACTGCCATAAAAATTATATAGATTCAGTGATAATGTATCAGTTAAAGGCTGGTGTGTTTCTTTGTTTTTTGTTTTTTTTTTTTTTTTTTTATGGAAAACTGCTTCAATGGGAATAATGTTGGGTATTTTTTCCTGGTATCTGGATACACTATTTGCTATTTGGCGTCAATATTCGCCATGAGTTCCAAATCAGAAGAACCTGAACTATTTAGATTAAGATATTGGGTAATTTACACCAAGTCAGATTATCTTTCACTATATGCCGCCCTAACCTTAGTGGGATTAATGATAAATATATATGAGGGTTAATTACATGAAACTAATTAATTTCTAAATAATGATTTATTTTCATTTATTTCCAGAATTCATTTTTTAAATAATCTTCTCCTTGGTTTGATGAAAGATTTTCCCCATAGAACTGCATAAATTATAATTAAAATATCAGACTGAGAATGACTAAGTGTCCATATACAGTAAAACTTTATACAGTCTTAATCAATAACTATGGATACTGTAGATATATTCCTTTATTTAGACACAGTTTGCTAAGAGAAACATAATACGTAGATTCATTTTCCAAAAACTGTTTTTTAAGCCTTTATGTCTGTCTATGATAATGATTTTCTGCCTTTAGCTGTTAAAATATTTTTTAATTGTAGAATATTACTTCAGTCTAATTAAAAAAGTAATTCAGAAATCTGGGCTTAATGAAAAGTACAGTATGTTTAGGACCTGCTGTGAGGTTATTATAAAAAGTATATGAATCTGACCCACTGGCCTAATTGGAAGTTATATTCTGATCTAATGAAAATGACCCCAGAAAAATATTACTGAATTTGCCCAAACTGCCCTTTAAAACCTCAGCTTCCCTCATGCTTGTTTGTGTATTGCAACTTTATGGGAAATATTTCAATATCTTTAAAAAGTAAGAGTAAACTTATCAAACTTTTTACAGCTATTGTAAAACACAAAAGTGGCTATCTTCCCTCGAGGGCAGGATGTAATTAACTCGGCATAAAAAGCAGTGATTGGTCAACTATCGCAGGTCTCTGGTTGTGTAACTGTTAAAATAAAAATCAGGTCAAAGGTTTTCTCTCTATTTTATTTAAAAAATATTGCCAACTTTAAAAAAGAAAACACAGAAAAATACAATAGTTTCATAACAGAAATAGCATATCAAAGCTGAGAAGCTAACATTCAAAAATAGGCTCATTCATCTCTTTCTAGAACTCTGGAAAAGCTGCAGTTATCATATTTTATCTTTACAACAGTTCTTTGTAAGTGCCGCTAAGCATCCTGGATAATGCTTTCTGTTATTGTTACATCAGAGTTCTGTGTCTAAATGACACAATATGCAAATTCTCATCATTCATTCCAAGCTTTTTTTCCTGAGTCAAACAGTCATATAAAGCGAAAGCACCAAAGAAAAGGCTTTCTATTATTGTTATTAATGTTCATTGTCTCCCAACAGTCAATGTTTGCATTTCTTTTTTCACCAATTGTCATTTCTCACATCCCCTTTTGCCTCTGCTGGGTCAGAGCTCTGCTCACGCAGTATGGGATGATGCTAACAGTGACCAAGGGCACGGTCGCACTCTTGCAGAAGGAAAGCAAGTAGAAGAGGGCTGCGGTGTGCGTGGGAGGCTTGAAGGAGTCAAACAGATGCAGCAAGAACAAAGAGCTGACAATGCAACCCACTTTGGCTGATGCATTGCTGCTCTTTTTGGTTTCGGTGTACAGGGGAGAGTGCAAGCCCAGACCAAGGCCAAACAGGGTACCCATGTTGCGAAGAAGACTGGCGAAGGGGGTGGTGTCCAGGTGGACCCACTCAGGTCTGATGCACCACTTCTGGGCTTTCTCCAGGGTCCACAGAAGATCGACACCAACGCCTTTTAGGAGCACGTAGAAGCCAACGGCAAAAGTTGTCAAGAAGAGCGTTGTGTAGAAGTACTTCTTCATACTGGCGCTGTAGATCCACTGAGTTCTGTTAAAGGCCTCAGCCACAATCATTCCTAGAAACATCAAAGCAAATCAGATATTAGGCTTCATGGATAGCTACTGTCTGATTAGGATCCTGCAAGGTTGTAGAAACTCTGCACTGACCTGAGATGACTCCTGCAACGACCTGATGGGGGAAGTGGGCGGCAATAAAGACCCTTGAAAGACACACACACACCTGGACGCCCCAAAACACGGACCATAGTAGAGCCTTTAGATACCTGCAAAAAAAAAAAAAAGATTTTAGACACTTAAAATCAGTTTGTTTTTTTGTTTTTTTTTATCATAAGATTCAACATTTCAGATTATCAGCTATGTAACGGAACCTTTTAATGCAATATAACACTTAACCCCTTTATCAATCCCATATCAACAGCAATTAATCTGCCTGAAAGTAAAAACAACCCAGAAATAACACTCAGTGTGCAGAAGTCAATGATCAACCGTGGTTGGAACAGATAGTGTGTCCTGAATGATAAGCTCCTGATACATCAAAGTGGTAAACAGCTCCGACGTCATGGGGGTACATGGGGTTCTGCAAAACAGAAACTGCCAATCTGTTGTTTTTCTCACCAGTTTGTGTTTGATGATTTCTTGCTGGTCAGAATGGCGAGAATGGAAGTCATAAGGGTGTAATAGACTCCTGCAGCTCCCATAGCATGGCCAGATGGGCTGCCTAGATTTACAATGACAGAAAGTTGGTATTAACACCAAAAAAAAGCTGCAAAACACAAAAACTTGCATTTATGTGTGCAATTAATCTAATGAAAGAATTAAATCTGTTTGCTTTATCAAATGTGTTCATCTTCTTTGAGTGCTTTATGCATCTGAAATATAATTCTATATGCATCTCTCAATGGCATTTTTAATGGGGGGTTTTCTACTCTAAACTCTACATAAATGTTATGCTGCCATATTTTTTATTATGCAATATAAATGAACTGTGGAAAGTTAACCAAATATGCAACCAAAAACTTCTTTCTTATATTTTTTTCAGAAAATGACAAGAAAGAAATGCAAAGTGGCCCTAAAGTGCTCCAAATGTCCTGCCGTGTTACGAAAAGTGTAAAAAATAATAATTCTACATCAGGAAGTATATGTATGTTTTGAGTTGATGCATGTGCAGTGGCATCTCTCACCTGGTCCGGTCTCACAGGTCATTGGATACTGCTCAATGTGAGGACGGGATGCATCCGTGTAATAAGCTGTCTCATGGACCCACCAGTATGGCCTCTCTCCAAAAAGGATCCTGAAGGAAAACAGAAGAAATACAAAAAAATATGTTAGGATCTTAAAAAAAAATCAGCTTATTTGACTTATTTCAGAAGAACATTGAGCTCACCATTTAAACACCAAGTTCAACCAGTCTCCGATTACAGCCACCCAGATCAGCTTGATGCCCACTGAGGGCCGCAGGTGGAACCAAAGCGGGAAGAAGATGAAGAAGGTGTTCCTGAGGTCCGCTGCCCAGGAGACCCAGAGAAAAAGGCCCTGAGCATCTTTATAGTTGGTCTGCAGGTAGCGGGTGCTGCTCACCCCAAAACCCTCCATGGCATCCATGATATCAGTGAACATCTTAGCCTGCAGGAAGCAGAAAGGTCTCAGTGTGCAGAGCTGTGAGAGAGTTGGTTCAAAAAAAAAAAGAGGACTGTTGCTATCAGTGACACAGCTGGTTGGTTTTATACCCGGGGACCCACTACACAAACGCATGCTCACCCTGATCTTTGGACCTTACACATGTGTAATAAAGCACTGAGTTTGGGAGGTTCGTCACACAAACAAGTTGATGAGATAAAGGGAAAACAAAAAGACAATTGGAGACTTTCCCACTGAGTCACTGTTCAAGGGTTCAAAGAAGAGGCCAAACCTGTGACCTGCGTAATGAATGACATCCACACTTTCCTGAAATTCTTCTTTTTTTATGCTTAATCGAAAATACATTTTTTTAACCATTTCAGAGTTACGCAATTGTTCTTTTGATGATTTGGACAAACTGCTCTTTGATGGAGCAACCTGTTTGTGGTTTATATAACAGGATCAAAGATTAAACAACTGGCTTGGAGCTGAGCAGAAAGGAGGAAACACTTGATGATCAAACTGAACAAATGCCAGGAGATCATGCAAGACGGCCCAGAAAAATGGAGATATATGAAAAAAGAATCTGTGTAGCAGGTTCTGTTTGGATAAAAGCCATTACAGTACATGTCACCTTTCTAAGAAAGTGGATGATCTGTTATCTTTTATTCATTCAGCAAATTTGCCACCTCAGTGCTTTTAAAATGCAGATCTGTTTTTGATATATCTTTAGTTGTTCTAAACATCCTTATGAAGTAAGATTTAATTATTTTCCATTTAATTTTATTTAAATAATATCAGTTCTCCACACACGTCATCTCAACGCTCTTCTCAGAGACATTTCAATCAGATCATACAGGCAAATTGGTTTAAAATTGTATATTAAAGAAAACCAACTTGCATTGAGTCATTGAGTTGCAGGACATGCTCCACCTCGATGCTCCTTCGCTTACAGTCTGTGTTTGACTCTTCAGTACAGATTCACGTCGATTACCTGAAGCCATGAGGATGTCATTGGTGACTTTTACAAGACTTGTTTCAGACCGATGATGAAACTCTTCAAAAAGGTCATTACTGTGTAAGTAGTCACTTTAAAAACTATTTTAATTAATTTAATAAAATTTAGGTCCACAGTTTAAATGACCAAGAGAGGTTTTCTTAACGGGGTCATAGAAAGATTCTATAGGGTATTTGGTGCTGGCCCTTAAGGTCTCCAAATAGGGTGTGTAACATTGGTTGGGCTGAAAATGGCATATTTACTGTTCTATGAGCCCAAATGCAAGCCTGGTTAAAAGCCCTAGAATGAAACAACAGGTTTTCTTCCTTTTATGGTATGATCATGAATATTTAGATGAGCTGTGCACTGATTGGTTGGTTTACAACGAGCGAAGCTGCTGAGCAAAGATGCATCATAGCAACAAGCACTCACTCACTGAAACATCAAATTGTTGATAAGGTAGGGTCATCAGATGTCTTCTTTTTCCCGGACATGTCCTACTTTTCATACCTAAAAAAATGTCCAGGGGGAATTTCAAAATCGTCCAGGATTTTGGTCGACTACGGGGCAGCAGATCCAAGCCGTGAGCTCAGGGGTTGGTCAGGACACCGGCGTCCCTGTGCTTCACCCAGAACAGCCCCTCGTTTCAGTAAAAGAAGTTTAGCAAATCCTGCTTTGGACTGTTCAAGATTTAGATTTAGATAAAGCTGTCTTCGGTAAAATGCTTAGAGCAAATGAACAGGTGAGCATCAAACTTTGCAGGGATCTTCTGCTACACAAAAATTGTTCATGCCTGTCGAGTCTTTGTATCCTTGGGAAGACCGTGAACATATTCCCTTTTCTCGGTGCAGCCTGGAACGCTGCATTTAGGATACTGAACCAGTGAGCTGGTCTGTATGTCAATTTCGGGGGGTGACAAAAGTACAGGCCAGAACCAAACAAGGCAACAAGGCAAGGTTCTTCGTTTGGATTTGCACGTTTTAAGGTGGAAGTTTAGAATTGTGAGATTTGCAGAGAAAGGAGGTGTCGATGGGGTTTGAACTACTCTGTACGTCCATTTCACCTACTGAACTATCGTTATTCATCAATGACAATGGAAACTCGGTTTTGCATTCTATGACCCCTTTAAGAAAAGGTTACAGCTACCGTTAAAGCCTGCAATACATTCACTGTAACAGATAGATTAATCATATCTAAAAATGGAGGAGAAAATCAGAGGGAATACTTTCTTAAATAACTTCAAAGGAATTTGATCTTATATTCAAGTTGAAGGCATAGAAGAAGCTCGTAATGTTGCTAACTCTGAAAGCTCACCTGGATAGAAACAGTCCAGACACAGTTTAGGTTCAATGGTTACCTCTGGTTATATTTGGAGGGGTCCCAATGATCCTATTTGTAATAGAACCAATCATATTGATAAAGAATTCAATAAAATCACTGCTCCTAAAAGCAGGGGGAATGGAGGGTTCAACAGAGCCATAGCTTTGTGTGAGTTTGGCAACTGTAATAAAATGAAATAAAAGATTATACTTGTTATCCTCCAACATAAAACTAAATATACTGCTCCAGTTCTAAGAAAGGGCCATATTAGTAGACTATTTTTCCAAATTTAGCACAGTCTCTAGGAATATAATGCTGAATTTTCTCTCCTGTTTCCAAGCAATATGCTTCAAAGTGCAAAGCTGTGTATTGAACCAAGGAACCCGCCTCCTATTATCAAAGTTCTTCTTTTTCAAAAGGTCTATATTGTCTAAAACAGTTTACAGAGAAGTTACCCCATTAAACAAACTCAATTTGTAAGTAATTAAGTAATGTTTATCTATATAGCACCTTTCACAGACATAGAAGTCACAAAGTGCTTCACAAAATTACAATACAAATTAAAAGATTACATTTACGGTCAAAAGACACGGTAATAAAATAACCCTCAGAGGGAGTGGCGGCCTAGTGGTAAGGGCATAGGGCTTTGAATCCTGAGATTTGGAGTTCAATCCCCCAGACTGCCACTCTGGGTCCCTGAGCAAGACCCTTAACCTGAAACTGCTCACCGGGCACCGCACAATGGCAGCCCACTGCTCCCCAAGGGGATGGGTTAAATGCAGAGATAAAATTTCTCCAATGTGAGATTTATTTATTAATATACTAGAATTCAAATGCTTTCTTAAACAAATAGGTTTTCAATTCTCTTACATTGGGATTAAATTTGTGAAATAATAAGATCATATTTAATCCCATGAAGATGTTGTTGGGACTGAGAAGGTCTGTCAGACGTTCCAGCGTAGATCCAATGCTGCTAATTAGAGTTACCAAAACAAAACTGGTTAATATCTGCTCAATTGTGTTCTGGACGACCCCATCAGTTATTTACAAGCACTGTCAGACCACTTCTTTGAGTTTTCCAGCCTTTTTTAATCTGTCTGCTCATATGGTCAGAAAGCCTGAACACCTGGACACTAAAGTCCAGGATCTGATCCTACAGACATCAGTAAAACACATAATACTGCATTCCTATTATTCTGGATTGCTAGGGTTAGTGGTTGATGGAAGAGATGGCTTCAATTTCCTGCTCCTCTCTCTTCTCCTTACTCCAGTTCTGCACCCTCTGGGCTTCTTTTTCAACTCAGGTGGTACGAAGGGTAAAAAAAAAAAAAAACAACTTGCTATTGTTGCTATGGTTATATAACTTAACAAATGTCCAAAAATATCCAGCACCAGAGGATAAAAAATGGGGAAAAAAAAGAAACTCAGATAAAACACAGGAACTTCAGTTATCCTAAAAGAACATCACAATCCAAATCATACAGCAACCTCAATGTCAAGCTACCTTAAGCAGAGCATGTCCAGAAAGGCTGCTATTAAAGCAAACAATGCTTCCCTAACATCCCAGCAGTGTCCCAGGCTCATCACCACAATGCTTGGATGCAGTAGCAGAAGGTTCCACATAAATCTGTGGAGGCATCCTGTGGATGTTGTGTCCTGAATCTCTAGAATCTAAATGTTTGCTTTCATTAGCAGAATTATTTAAATACACAGCAAAACCTTTTAAATTGATCACTTTCTGTTTAAGCATCTATGTATGACTTTATCTAATTCAATTACTGAATTAAATTAACTTTTCCATATAAATTCTTGATGTTTCCAATGGATATGTTCTCAAATATAGGGTTTCTTTTTAAACTAACTGCCTGTGCATCTTGGAATAGATTTTATTATGTTGAAAGGGCGGACATTTTATAACCTTGCAGACTTTTCCACCTCTCAATATGACCAGGGAATCAGTGAGCTCCTTTAAACAATTGCTGGTTGTTGTTTTCACATTAAGTTAAAAAATAACATTTTGGAGGCCAAGCCGTTACTTCCCCTATCCATTGAAACCTCTCAAATGCTGGACATGTAAAATAATATATATTCATAAATTTATTTTTTTTTGTGGGGTGTGGGGTATGACTGTATGTGTGGCGGGTTGGGTGGAGGTCAGTGCGGTGTTACTTTGTTATTTTGTTTTTTTTTTATTATTTGATGTTTAAGTTGTGGTGAAGAGAGCTGAGCCAAAAAGCAAAGCTCTCGATTTACCATCGATCTACGTTCCTACCCTCATCTATGGTCATGAGCTTTGGTTCATTATGATCATGACTGAAAAAATAAGATCGCGGATACAAGCGACTGAAATGAGTTTTCTCCGTAGTGTGTCCTGGCTCTCCCTTAGAGACAGGGTGAGGAGCTCAGTCATCCGGGGAGGACTCAGAGTAGAGCCGCTGCTCCTCCACCTAAAGAGGAGCCAGTTGTGGTGGCTCGCACATCTGATTAGGATGCCTCCTGGACGTCTCCCCGGTGAGGTGTTCTAGGCACGTCCCACCGGATGGAGACCCAGGGGGAGACCCAGGACATGCTGGAGGGACTATGTTTCTCGGTTGGCCTGGGAGCGCCTTGGGATGAATGGATGGATGGATGGATGATGTTTAAATTGTACTTAAATGTGGACAAAAATAGAGTACAAAAGTAAATGGCATGAAATGTAGGCCATTTCTACAAATCCCTCTGCTTCAGCTAATATCTTTTGTTTTTTGATGATATTTTATTGTGTTATGACATTTTTAAAAAAGTATAATACAATAAAATGTTCTCTACTCTTTAAGAGACGAAAAACTCTCCTGTAACTATGGGGAGAAATTGGCTTCTTTATTGATGGGTTTTAACAGACGGGGCCTCTGGACGGGTGTAAAGGTTAAGGAACTGCCTGTCTGTACTGTCCCAAAGGCAAACAAATCTGCTAGCCTTGAGTAAAGTCCGGATCACAAAGAGAACAAGCAGACAGGACAGTTTGAGAGAGAGCGTTGCAGTAACAGGTCCCTGCAAATAAGACAAAGGAGGCCAGATTCCAGCTATCATCCTCCTTCTGAGGTCTTCGCTGTGATATCATGGATCTCCTTCACAGCTGGGGGGTTGAGCTGGCCATTCACCTGCAGACCAGATACAGCAGGTACGAGGGCCTTTTCAGCCTTGCTTCTGCCGTGGCTGATTTGCACACCACGTTCTTCTGCCTGTTCCCCGTCTGGTTCTACATACGCAGAGACACGGGGGTCAGGCTTATCTGGGTGGCTGTCATCGGAGACTGGCTCAATTTATTGCTGAAATGGTAAATAAACATAGTTCCAAAAATCCTGTAGGTGCAACTTAGCAGGATTGTGATTGATATTAACGATTCTTTATTGTAGGGTTCTTTCTGGGGAGAGGCCGTACTGGTGGGTTCATGAGACCCAGTTTTACAGAGCGGGAAAGGCCCCTTCGCTGCAGCAGTTTCCAATCACATGTGAGACTGGACCAGGTAAGGTGCAGGATAGAGTGCTGATCAAAGAATGCCAGGCTTCTTCCTAATAAACAACCAATGATTTATTACATTTATCTGACATAGTGAACTCCTTGTGCGCTTAATATTTGTGTAAATCATTGATAGGAGGCTACTGTATCTCCTGGCCTTCACTCAATGGATATAATTTATAATATTTATGAATGAGTTCACAACTTAATTGCTTGTGGCCAGTTAAAGGAGTTTTTATCTTCAGGTATTTATAGAGATATTAAATTTAAGATATTCCTCCTCTTGCATGTTCTGCTGCAGTGGATGTGATTTAATAACACCTAAAGCAGAATTCACATTTAGGTCAAAAATTGCACAAGGGGAGTTTTGGCCTAGTGGTTTAGGGCAGGAGTCTTCAACATTTTCCAGGCTAAGGACCCCCAAACTGATGGCGAGATGAAGCGGGGACCCCCTAATTATATATATTGAAATTGTGTTATATCAAACTGGTCCTATAGTCACTCTATTACAGATGGTGTCATGTAATGAAAGTAATTTCACCTTAAAGTATTTCTGATTCTGATTGGATTCATTGTTTCCATTTATCTGTTTACTTCAGTGTGTTGAATTCATGTAAATGTGGATTTAAAGACATTTCAATTATTGGAAAATATGCAGGGGGGAAAATTTAAAAAAAAAGTATAATCAACCGAAACTTTTGGAACCCCCATGCAGTACCTCCTTGGATCCCCTGTTGAAGACCTACAGTTTAGGGCAGGCATCCCCAAATATTGCAGTTTTTCCTTTTTTGAGATCTGAAAAATTTATTATTTTTTTCTGATTTTATTGTCATTACACTGTCACAAGTACAGAGAAATGAAATGAACTCTCTATATTTAACCCATTCCCTTTGGGAAGCAGTAGGCTGCCATTGTGCGGCTTTGGGGGAGCAGTGTAGAGTTAAGGGTCTTGTTCAGGGACCCAAAGTGGCTGTCTGTGGGAGTGGGGCTTGAACTC